CTCTTGCCCTTGTCTTTCTTCTTCCTGTCTGTCTGCTTCTCTTTGGAGGCTCTCTACATTCCAGGTGCTCACACCTGACCCTGCAGAACTATAGCAGGAATGGGTTTCACCAGGCATCCCGGCAGCCTCTGCAGAGGCCTCTGCAGGGGTGAGGGGGAGTCCACATACTCCTTCCTCTTCCTGGAGTTTATCCCCCAGACATGAGGCTTAGACACGGTTCAGATTATAAAGCAAGCAGGTAACCCTTGAGGTTAGAGTGGGTTCTAACTCTTCTAGAGTGTTCTATGACCTTGCTAACGGTCAGGCTTTATACACAATGGCTGGGAGAAACCACAGTCCACAGATAAGCCATTGTGAAAAAGGAACGCCAAGCTCCCCTGAAAGTTCCCAAGATATTAAGCCCTGAAAAGCTGGCAGCCTTCTCTGAATGTGCCATTCATGCATTTGCCTTTCTATTTTAGCACGCTCGTGTGATTATACAAAAGCAGGCTATTCCTTTTTCTGGGGGAAAAATTTAATGATTTGCAAGTGGCATCCTTAGTCTCTAGGATAGAGGCAGGAGGTTATATCGTAGAAGAGAAGTGCATAAAACACCTTTTGTTTATCCTGCTTTGCTGAGCTGGTAGTATCTACAACGATTAAATGGCCTTAAATAGAGGCTGGGTGGGATCCTATTGTTGAATGAGAGGTGACAAGACAGCTCATTTCGGATGAGAAGGGATTTTTCTAACAATCCAGGAGAAAAGATCCATGAACATCTTAACCTGTCAGCCCTGTGGTTTGCAGGAGTCTGTGTACAGGGGCTGGATCTGTGTTGGGCACTTGCATCCGGAAGATACCAGGTCTGCTGGCCCCATCTGGTGTTCACTCACCAGTCAGCCACAAAACCACTTGAAAAGTGTAGTTCTCTCTCCAAGTACATATTTGGTTCTCCTTTTTTCCAACTTTAAATAGTGATTTTAGGTAACAAACAATCCATGTGTCCCACTTTATTAAATTGTTAAGCTACTAGCATACCTGTAACTACCTTAAGTCATCTTTTTAACCGAAGCAAGAGGAATTGGGGTTAGATGTAAGGAAGAACTTTCAGACAATGAGGTTTGTAGCACAATGACCTAACTGGTGAGGGAGATTGTAAAATCTCTTATTATTCATTTTTTATAAAATTGTTAAAATGCAATTTTATTCCTAAATTTTAATGAAATAAAACCTTAAAATGCTTTTTATTTATATAAAGAAGTGTGTAGAAAGGGGAAATGCTTTATCTACATCATTAAATTCTAGGAACTTCTTCCAGTTTTAATGCCAAAGACCACAAAGTGAACAACATTAAAAAAAATTTTTTTAACCAGGTATTACCATTAGATCCCCTTCAATGTTTTGGAATAAAAAAGTTAGAAACATCCTGACTTTCCTAAGGATTTATTACCCAGTTATCAGTGTCATTCACTTTGTTAATGCAGACACCAGTAATCCAAGCTGCTCTTTGATTTGGTGTTTGGGAATTTTTATTGCATGTCTGAATTTTAAGGGATGGGGTGTGGCAAGAACAAAGAATCAATATGAGTCTTCAATACCAGGCTTAATTTCACACAGATGACATTTTAGGAAAGAATATATTGGGTTGTCGGAAAAGTCATGATGTATTTTTTCTATGTTTTTCATTGCAAAAATACGTCATGACTTTTCCGACAACCCAATATTTGGAACTAAGGTTCTGGACATTGAAAAATGTTATGCATCTCGGTTGACACAACCTAGCTTGAAGGACACTGCTCTATTCCTTCCTTGGATTTTCCTCTAGTCTGTGTATTAAGGAATCTAACTAGTTCTATTTTTCTCTTGAGATGCACACACACACACACACACACACACACACTCACAGAGAGAGAGAGACACACACACATGCACTCACATACACAATGAATTTTTTTCTATATTTGTTAATCATTTTCTTTCAAATTAGACTGTAAATCATTAAAGACAATATCAGGCTATGTCTTCTATGTCATTTGTAGAATCATGGAACTTATTACATACCTAATACATACCAACTGAACATTGCCTATTAAGAGGTAGTTTGGGAGGCCAGAATATCTGGGTTTGTATCCTGGTCCTGCTAGTTTTCCTTCTGTCATTTCTGGGGATTGCTGCATAACTTCTCAGATGTTCCATCTATGTATCTGTAAAATAGGGGTTATAATAGACTTTATCTCAGGTAGTATATGTGAAGATTAAATAATTTTACATATCAGAAGTACTTACAACACTATTAGGAATATAGTCAGTGCTCAATAAGTGTTAACTATTATGATTCTTCTTATTATATTGATATACCATCTTTTGGGGGAAGATTTTAAATAAGAGGCTCAGTTATTTACCTTATTTTCCTCTCTAGATACAATCCTGCCTGAAAAGAGAGGTCAGAGTTAGCTTAATGCATTCCAGTGTTAATATACCACCTTCACACTGTTTGCTATGTCTCAGTAACAACTGTAGAAGTGTTTACTCAAGATATTCCTTTAAATGGATTCATTTCTTTTTAACTGTAGCCTTTAATCATCTTAGGCAATGATATGGTATCAGTGAAATCATAGATTGATGGGCTAATTATATCTTACTGATGTATATTAAAATATATGACTATAAAAAAGTAATGTTCACCTGTTTTTGTGTCTTCCAAAAAAATACATGTTCAAGTCCTAACCTTCAGCACCTGTGAATGAGACTTTTTTTGGTAATAGGGTCTTTGCAGATGTAATCAAGTTAAGATGAGGTCATACTGGATTGTGGGCCCTAATCCAGTGACTGGTATCTTTATAAGAAGAGGGAAATTTGGACACAATCACAGACACAAAGAAAGAACACTATGTGATAGTGGAGGCAGGGACTGGAGGGATGTGTCTATAGAGGAGGAACACCAAGGATTGTCGGCAACCACCTGAAGCTAGGAAGAGACAAGGAAGGGTCGTCCCCTGGAGCCTTCAGAAAGAGCATGGCCCTGCTGACACCTTGATTTCAGACTTCTAGTTTTCAGAACTATGAGAGAATACATTTTTGTTTTTTTTAAGTCACCCAATTTGTAGTCATTTCTGCAGCCTTACGAAATGAATACACCAAAGTACTCCCTAAAATCATCCCCTGTCCCACCAGAGGGACGCATTTAACATTCAGGGACATGTTGGCCTGAGTGTTCTGTGAAGGTTTCAGTCCTGTGATTGAATGATGGTGGCCTTCATTGTAGCAGTCATTTTTATACTCGGGTATGATGTAAGCATCAGCACCCCTATGTATAAAGCTGAGGAAAGGTTGCTTTAATCAGGTTTGAGCAGGTGCATCTCATCAATTCTGAACGGCACCCTGGTGTGTGCTGTCCACGCCTAGGCACCCTGGGAGCTCAGGCTGTGCAGAGCCACGACGGGGGGCTTGGTGATGCCTCCACGGTTGTCCACCCGGCCGACTTCCGAATCACTGGCGCATCTTTTTCTGGGTAGAGAGTTTGGTGCTCTCTCGAGTCAGTTTTACTTTCTGATGAATTCATTTGGATCATAGCCCAGAAGCTGGCTTTTATTACCTTTGATCTCATCCATGGTCATCAGCAGTTTTTAAACCAATAACGTCCATGTTCCCTTGCTCCCCATTTCCACACATCGTCATAGGAGAACAATCTTCCATCTGCATCTGTATTTTCCAACTGTAGTACAGATTGGCGAATTATCTGCATTTTCTACCTTAGGCCATCAGAATTACATTGACATATTTAATTTGGACTTAAAATATTTAATAAACAGAATAAATGTTGTAGTTAAATCCTTTTTTTCATTTTTTATCATGCATCTACATGAAGAATTTATATTTAGTCCTTTATGTGAGTTTTAATGTATATTCTGCGTAACAGCTGCCACAGTGCTAAACTGGCCCAAATGTCTACTCAATAAATATTTATTGAGTGCCGTCTGTATGCCAGACTCTGTGAGTAGCTTCTTCCTATATACCAAAGCACTTGCCACTAGGGACACAAAGAGGGTTAGAGTCCCAGGTTAGGACAACTTTCAAATAAAGGGAATGTAATGACAGCCTTACTGCTTACTGGCTTAGAATGGTGCTGGCCCATATAGGTGCTCAGTAAATGTTAGTTTTTCTCTTCCTTTTGACTTTTTGATTATAACTATTCTAGTCAGTGTGAAGTAGTACCTCATTGTGGTTTTGATTTGCATTTCCCGATGACTAGTGATGCAGAAATGTTTTCATGTGCTTTTTGGCCATTTGTATATCTTCAACAGCCTGTAAGATGGACCTTTAAAAGTGCAGAAACTCCTGATTTACTTGGGGGAGGGAGCAAGCTGTTGATAGGTTGGACAACTCTTCAGGTCCTTTACTCTCATCTGCACTTTAGATTGGCTCTTCATCTCATCTGCAGGGTGTGGGGAGGATCATGGGGTGGTCCAGATTAGCATTTGTGCCTCCAGTTTGTTAGCTTGGGTGGAACGGTTAGTGTCCTCGTGTGTTTTGGGACTGTGTCACCACCTAGGCCAAAGTTATTTCTCTTAATTCTGGGATAGTGTGACTCCTGCTTGAACTCTTCCAAGAATCCCAGTCCAGGTGAGGGAGGCAGTGATGGTGGGCAAGAGAAGAGGGAGAAGGGAGATACAAGATGAGCGGGCAGAGACTGTGGGAGGGGCAGAGCCATGGAGACAGAAAGACCTGTGTTTGCATTTTATTTCCAAGTCATCAATAACCAAGATATTCACTTTTCCCTCTAAATACAGAGGGGCACCTCTCAATCCCTACTATAATATCCTTGGTTGTTGAGGCAAGTGTCTCAGTGGCTGAGAGGTTGAGCTACTTGGGATTATGCCGCGGGGTCCATTCCTCCACAGCTCGCATCCCCACAGACAGTGGCATCTGTGATGTTGGGGAAGGTTTGCCAAGACTGAGCACCAGGCAGCCCCTTGAACTGCTCTCTGATCTCTGCTTCTCTGCCTTGCCTTCTTGCTTAGCCAAAACAGTCACCTCTGAGGAGTGTCTGGTGAGCCCTGTGGGCATGAATCGCTACAGCGTGGACCCCTCCGCCTCCGCCTTTAGCCACAGGGCCTCCTTGCCTACCACCACCTCACTGTACTGCAAGAGGCAGAACTCTGGAGACAGCCACCTTGGGGGAGGCCCAGCCACCATCGCCAGTGGTCCCCGCACCAGCCCCATGTCCTCTGGAGGCCCCTCGGCACCTGGGCTGAGGCCCCCAGGCTCCAGCCCCAAGAGAAACGGGACCTCTCTTGAAGGAAACAGATGTGGTAATGTAATGCATGCACTGGCCTCCCTGTGATATCACCTCCTCCGTCCGTGCCCCGGGGCCACAGCATGTAGTGGAAGGAGGGAATTGTAGCTGTTTGAACATGGGGACACTGGGACATCAGAAGTTTCCACAGGTCCTTTCATGGATGCTGTTGTTCTTGAAGACAGCTGAGGTCAGCCTTTGGCGATAAGCAAAGAAAACAGCGTATTAGAGCGGGCTAGGCTGTAGGAGTAAGTAGGCTCCTCCAAAACGTACAGTGGCTCAGATACTGTAGAAGTGTACTTTTCGCTCACGAGTCCAAGGTGGGTGTTCCTAGCGGGTGGGTGCACCTCAGTTCAAGGAGCCAGCTGTGTCCATTCTGTGGCTCTGCTCTCCCCGAGGCCCCCGTGCCCCAGGCACCTAGTGGGTAGAAAGGCAAAGAGTGGGTGGAGGAGGCACACGCCCTTTTCCTAGAGCCCAGAAGTGATGCCCATCACTTCCGCTCACACTTAACTCCAAGGGAGTCTGAGAGATTTGGACCAGCTCTGTGCCAGGAAAAAGAAGAACCTTATGTTGATAAAGAGTTTTCTCTTGCATAGTGGGTGACACTTGCAGGATACAAATACCTGGCCAGAACCAGAGTTAAGCAAAATTCCCACAGTGCTGGCTGAATGCCACTTCAGTCTCACCCATTACAGATAGTTTGTTGGGATGCCATGTATAAAAGTGCTGTCATTCTAAGGATAGCTTAGTGTCCGCTCTGATTTTTGTTTTTTTTTTTTTAAACCATTTTCAAGCTTTAGTATATATATATATTTAATGACTAGAGGCTGTAGAGCATAGTGAATAATCACATGGATGGCTGAGCCAGACAGCCTGGGCTGGAATCCTGAATCTGTCACTTCCTGTGTGACCTTCTGCAAGTCTGAACTTCTCTGTGCCTCAGTTTCCTCACCTGTAAAATTGGAATAATAGTAATAATAGCACCTGCTTCATAGGTTTGTTGGGAGGATTCAATACATTCATATGTGTATTTAGTACTAGGCCTAGGACATAGTAAGAGCTCAATAAATGTTAGAGTCACAGATCACGTGAACACACCCCTCAGTAGGTCACGGCCCATCAACTCCACAGCTGAAAGCTGTTGAAGAAAGCAGGCCCAGGCCAAGGAGGAAGGGAGTCTTCACCTGGCCCCTCCGGAGCCTCCCGGTGGGCTGGGTCTTCTTTGGCAAGCCACCGTTCTGTTCTGAGCCTTGTATCTCTCTACCAGTAGCCCTGACGAGCCATAGTGATGAGATGTTTCATATGATCCAAGGTCCTCCACACACTCTCCTCAAAGAGCCTCACCCATCCCAGATAAGCCTTTGCTGGCTGAGAATGGAGCGGTGAGCAGAGGCCCCTTGACAGGGAGGCAGTTCCGAGGGGCAGGGCACAGATGCCCTCAGCCAGGGGGCTCTTGCCAAATGTGGAGGCACCATGCAGACCACTTCCTGACATTGTCATGCAGAACCATCAGCCAGGCAGGAGATTTGAGCTAGCAGAGACCATTTTCCAAAAGGGAGAGACATTGTTTCATCTGATTTCTAAGAACAAAAGAAGGGAACAAGATCTGGAACAAACCAACATCTTCAAGTAAATAAGGGGGCAGCATTTATTTCCTAGGTTTATCCCCAGAGTTAGCATAACATCTGGCATATAGTAGGTGCTCAATAAACATTCATTGTCTCTTTGCTCCCCCTCCACACTGTCCCATGCCCTCATGTTGTCCCTGGTCATCAAAACCCTCATCCTGGTGTCCCTCTGCCTTTTACATTTCTCTTTCTTTCAACCTCTTCTCAACCCATTCCCCTTTGCTCAGGGTGATGATTACAAGACATTGCACTGATTGAACTGATTTATAATCCTAAGACTGTTGCCACTTTTTCAGAAGGAGATATTTACTCTCTCCCCCATTCAAGTTGGTGAAATCTCAGGCCCTATGTCCTAAGTGTAAGATTTCAAGCAGTACAGGGAAGACCCGATTTGGATGGAGACAACGTCTGTCACTGTGAGAATTGTCTGCTCTATCCCAGTTTATCTGGTGTCCCGGATGAGGGGAATTCAGGACCCATCAAAGGGGTCTCCAGGTAGTCCCCTCCACCAGTCCCTTGCTGCCTCCTTCCAGTGGAGCCCTGGGATGTCCTTCCATCCTAGCTTCAACCACTTTCCTGTCCCTCATCTTCAGCTCTACCCCAGACCTCTGTTCTCCTGGAATTAGACCCTGATCAGCTGTCATAGTAATCTGCCAGAGGGAGGCCCAGACCCTCGCTTGGAACCATATCTAGGAAAGCCCTCTCTTTTGGAGCCCTGGTTGCACCCCTGAAGAGCCCCAATAATAGCTCAAGACCTCTGCCTCTCAGAACCTTGGGTGAGATCAGAGAAACAGAGCCCTCCAGTACCTGCTGCCTTCCACTCCAAGCAAACCACTAACTGTATCCTGAATGCTGATGGTCTCTTCTACAACTTAGAAATATTAGTGAGAATCTAGCCTGATGCCCTGAAAATTAGATTCAGCAGGACCCCATAGGGCTGTGGGATGTCCAAAATCACACAACCACCCAGCCTCCTTGAAGTAAAGATGCAGCACGTTGTACCAGTTGAAATTCATTATTAAGCCTTTGTGATATACTGAAGAAAAATGAAATTACTCACCCTTTCTAGGTGCATGAACTCTTTAATGTTCCAAAAATTCCTTTTAACCAGTGCCTTCTTCAGGGTGCTAAACGAAAATACAGATACTAGAAAAAGCCAGCCAGCCAGCCATGTACATCCTCAGCACCAAGGTGAAGGAAGGAGGTGGGGAGAATAACGGGACAGACGGCAGTGCCAGCATCTCTAAAAGAGATTTTTATTTCTGCTTACATCTCATTGGCCAGAATTTAGTCACATGGCCACTAGCAGCAAGGAAAGCCAGGAAATATGGTTTCAATCCTAAGCAATCATGATCACAGCTGGAAATCAGAGATTCTATTACAAAATAAGAAGTAGAAAAAAAAATTGGGTGGTCAACTGGCAGTCTCAGCCACACCTCCCAATTAGATGTGTTCGTTTTCTCCTGTTTCCTCCTCTGGCCTTTTTGTTTCCTCATCTCTAATACTTCCTCCCTCCCATCTCATAGCAGGAACCAGACTCTCACTCATATTTGAATCTTCTGCAGCCCCAGAAAAGGACCCTGCTTGTTTGAGACATATACTAAATAGCTGTTTATTGATCACGTGCTATAGGCCAGACACCTTTCCACCCATTATTTATGACTTATTATGTTATATTTTATAACTTATTATTATAGTAGGTGTATATTATTAGAGTAGGTATTATTATATTCAATTTACAGATAAAGAAAGTGAAGATCAAGAGACGGTCAGTCAAGTGTTGAGTCAGGATTTGACTTCAACTGGCTCCAAAGCCCCTGTCGTTCCAGATGACCCTGGGGATTTTCAAATCATGCTCAGTGGGCTTCAAGGTGTCTCTCTGGGGTTCTAGGCCATAGGGAAGAAGGGATGGGAGCAGACAGGACTCTTTAATCAGGGTGTGTTTACATTTGCAGGGTAGGGTTCTACATATGCTTTGCTTGAACAAATTTTGCTCAGCTAAACACATTTGGAAACCATGGAGGTAAGCCATGCTGAACTGAGTAGCAGTATATTAAGGAAGGAGAGAGAACCATTGACCTCTCTACCCGTTTGTCACTTAGCTAGCTGCCAGCCTGGTGCCTGCTGTGGGTCTCGGGAGGGCTATTAAGTTTTCCCTCTGCCCAAAGAACTGCTCAGTATTGCTCTGAAATTGCATCCCAAGTGAAAGCAGTTGATATTAAGGAACCATACCTCTTTAAGAAAGTTTGACCCAAGTCATAAACCCTAGAAGAGACTAGAAATGGCTCCCCCCCCCCCCCCCCCCCGTGGTGCTAATCAACATGGTTTAAAACCACAGAAGCCAGAAAACTGCATGAGGCTACAGGCAGGAGGGTAGGTATCCATGACATGACAAACTTCTCAGCCTTGTCTCTCATGTAAATACTTACCCTGGCCTCCTGCTGTCTTGATATATCATACCTATTGCCTCTGCCAGTGGACTCAGGGGGATGTATTCACAGGACACATTTCCCTGTTTTTTGCTGGTACTCAGGTGAAAATTTGGAGCTCTCTCCCATCTCTCATCCAAGACATAATTACTAAGAGCTATAAAGAGATTTCGGACAACAAAAGCTTCCTGACTCTTGTGTTTAATGGGACATGCTTAGAATTCCCAAACACAACTAGATCCAAGCTTTAGAATCAAGAAACAAAGTCAATCTGATGTTGTGGTTACCACTCAAATACTTCCGTGGGTTGGCGTTTGCTTCCATAGGGTATGGCATTGGGTGATAGAGACAATTCAGCTAGAAAAAGAATTGGAACAGCATTCTATGTGAAGGTAATGGAATGAGCTGAAGTGTGGGAAGGACTTATCTATTTTGGGGAAAGAAAAGATTTGTGCAGGGACACTGAGGGTAATCAATGAGGGAGATTTAGGGTCTGTGTCAGCAGATTGGGCTTTAGTCTGTGGAAACCAGACATTTCTGATGAGGAAAATGAGCTGATGGCCACAGGATTTAGTAAATGAATCTATTGGCCATATGGAATGATATATAATAATAAGAATAGCAACCACCTTTTGATGAATTCTTACTGTTTAATGCTTTACATTCTCTCAGGTAATCCTCACAACATGATAGGTGTTTGACAGGTGATACAGCTAAGACTCAGAGTAATTTTGGTTAGTCCTAGCAAGCAGATACTCATTGAGCCCAATATTTCAGGGGCTCTTCTCAGGTATAAGGATGGAGCTGTGAGAAGACAGATGTGGGCTCTGTTCTCTGACAGGGTGTAATTCCAGAGAACCAAATGTTAACAAATGTTAACAAACTTAATTACAACTGTGACTATTGCTCCAAAGGAAAAGTATGGATGCTTGAAGAGTATCCGGTAGGGAGGGAGTCGCTGAGCCTACTCTGGGGAGTCAGGATAGGCTTCCCGGAGAAGTGATAGTGGAACCAGCTGGAAGGGGAAGCAGAAGTTGGCCGGGGTAGGGCAGTGGGAGAAGAGGTGGCTGGAGGCTTACTGGCACAGTTCAAATTGTTTGCCCAGAGGTCACAGTGTCTGTGGTGGCAGAGAAGGAATTCAGCCCAGCTTTGCCTCACGTCAGGCCTGTGGTCTCTCCTTGTCTTAGAGGCATCCTCTCTCCTCATACGGGGATGTCAGCTGGTCTTGAAGAAATAAAATTAAAATCTGAATAACATCTAAGGATTGGTCAGGCTCTCTTTTATCTCCCATCTCCCTTTCCTCATAATGTCTCAAAAATTCTTGCAATAGAAATAACGAAAACAACACTGTCTCAAACTACCTGATGTTCCCCAGATTGTGGGCTAGCCTGGGAACCTCATATACTCTGCATATGGCGTTGTTTCTAGAAAGGATGCATTCCTTGGGGACTGGGTCACTAGGAGGAGCTGAGAACACTACCCTTCCCTTGCCCTCACTCCCATGCCTCCCAACCCAGCTTCAGCTGCCGGAGAGGCTGAGAGGGCCAAGGGGCCTTATTGACAGCCTGATGAAGGACGCTGAGGGGTGCCTTTTGGACACTGATAGGCTTTCCTTCAAGAAGCTCCTTGTCAGGCTCCAGCCCTAATCCACATATTCACTTGAATCTTACAATACTCTTGACAAACTCATGAAGAAAATGAGGACCATAGAGAATGATCAGGGCCAGAAAGAGGCCAGAAGCCTGGCCATCGACTCTCCATTCAGTGGGCTTTGCACCTGGACACACTGATGTGGCTTTCAGATGTGTGAGAAGCTAACTCGCTTAGTGTTGCACAGGACAGCCTGTGGTGTGAAGGGACCATACCGTGTCATAGGTGGAAGGGACCTTAGAGAGCCTTCCTAACTCCCTTATTTCACACCCGAGAAGCACAAAGACGCTCACATAGCTGGTGGGTGGTAGGGATTTCTGACTCCCAGCTCATTGCTCATTCCATTCTTCATATGACTTGATTGTTAGCTAAAAAGTGTTCTCTGAATTACGAATGTGTGAAAGGAAATTATGTATGTGCTTGTGGGTATGTGTGAGACAGAGAGAGACTCAGAGACCTCAGTACAAGTACCTATGCTGTGAAAATGTTGGGGATTGCTTTAAATCCTGATTCATAGTCATTCTGTTCCTGGGGGAATGGAAGAAATGATAAAAACTATCTTTACAACTGGGTTTCACATTTCACATGTCTCCTGCGGCAGGCAGCTCCCAGGAAATGGATACAACCATGCACCAAGTGCTCCACATTGGAGAATGCTGCCTTCATAAAGGCATTTGGCAAGCACGCTGCATGCTCTGTTTCATTAGGACCAAGATTTTTTTTACATTTGCCCCGTCTTACCAATGTCCAGTCACATCTGTCTGGCCTGACTGTCAGGCTGGACCCATCTGTCTTCCTGACACCTTCACAGCAGCTGGCGGAGGCTCGTGTATTTATTGTCTGTTTGGGCAGGGACTACTGCAAAGGTTTTACAAACCTACTCTTGCAAAGTTCCATTTCTCTTCCTTCTAGAGCGATTTTATGTGCTTTGGATCTTGAGCAGCTCCCGAGGTGTGAGAGGCTTCCTGCTTGCTGCTCTCTGTCTTGTATGACTAAGGTCCCCTCAGAGAGGCTCCTTGAGCCAGGCCTGGCTGCTGCTTTCCAGCCTGGAAAAGTGAAAGACACCCTCAGGAAGCACCAGGCACAGGAGCGGAACCCTTCCCTCCATGGCCATCACCTGGAGCACCTCCACTGTAAAGAGAAGCCACATCCTTGCTCAGCCCAACAGCTGGGCCTACTGGAAAGTACAATAGTTCCCCCACAGACCGACTGTGCTGGAAGGAACTTAGGGTCCCATGAATGAGGCTGTGAATCAGTCTGGTATTTTTCCTCCCTACCAAATACAGGAAATTAGATTTGACCTCTGCTCTCATCACTCTAAAATCATTCTTGGCACTGAAGACTTCCAGCCTTTGTAATCAGAGCATGTATTATCACCCTGATTAACGCAGAAGCTCTGATGGGTGGGATACAGAAGCGAATGCGATTTCCGTGATGCTTGTCCCCATGTTGAGTGCAGATGTCTTTAAATGCAGCAAAATCATCTCTAATAAGCATGCATCAGCATTCAGATGGCTCCAGGGGATGTTAACAGTTTCTTGGCAAAATGCCCCCATGCCAAACCACCTTAGGAGACCCTTCCAGGTCCAACAAGGAAAAGGCAGGGGAAATCTCCAAGTAAATCCTGTTCACAAGCAAACCATTACATATTTAGGACAGAGTTGGAAATGTGATGCTGTACATTTCTCAGCACTAATGGAGACCTGTGCACTTCTTGAACACATTAAAAAGAGGAGGACAAGAGATAGCAGAAAACCACTGTACCTTGAGATTAAAGAAGAGAAATGGAAGTGCAGGCTTCTCCACTTCTAATTTAAGATTATAACGTGGGGAAGCAGTTTCATTGTTCAGAGCTTAGCCTTTTTTCTGGCCTGAAAATAGGATTAAAGGTTACCCACACAAGGCTTTTGTATAAGTTATTAACACTGTTTCTGCAAAGTGTGTTGATTTATTTTACAATGATTGAGCCCATATTTACAAATATATTTACTTAGAGCCATGGAGGAGTCAATGAATAAAGACCCTATAATGTAAGGATCCCGTTTTTCACCAAACACTTTGTCCAGGACCTGGTACAAAAGAGATGCTCAGTAGATGTTTGTGGAATGAATGAGGGGTAGATGAAAAAGATCATCCTCTAGAAAGTAAAATCTAACTGGAGGTTACAGACAAGTACATGTATAATTGTAGCACAAGGCAGACTATGGAAGCATCTTATGAGATGAACAAATAAAGGTTTGGGAGTTAAAGATAAAGAAGATGACATCTAGATGGCAGGACACAGAAATACTGCTTGGGAAGGGGTCTCCCTGGGCTCTGATGGCTGGCGGAACTTCTGTGGAAAGGAGGGAGAGTAAATGTCTTCTAGAGAGAAGCAAAAGCATCATCTAAAGGTGGAGAAGGGGGCCGGCCGAGTGGCGCGATGGTTAAGAACTGGTTTGGGACACCAGAGGGCCCCGGTTCGGATCCCACATATGAGGGCCAGTGACACTGCCCTCTACAGCTAAGATGCTGAACGACAGCTCAACCTGGAGCTGGGCTGCCATGAATCACCGGCAACGGCATAGGCTGCAGCCCCTGTGTCAGTGGGTTGCCATGGGCTACCGTGTGTAGCCAGCAGCCAGCGTGAGCGGCCAGCAGCCGCAGTGAGCGGCCGTCCAGAAGCCGGCGACTGATGTGCCTCGCTTGGGAAGAGCGCAATGATGGTGCCAACTTGGGCAGTGAAGCAACGTCCTCCACAACTAGACTGAAGAACAAAAGGACAGCAACTTGTCTGTTCCCCTTCCCCCAATTCCCCTGCACTGTTCCCCTCCCCCCAATACCCCAATAAAAAAAAATCTAAAAAAAATTAAAAAAAAATAATAAAGGTGGAGAAGGGAAGGGGAACATTCGGTCACAACCAGTGTGCAGCCCCTATTAGTCTTTCTGTGTTACAGGAGGTCACCCAGGCCACCACCTTGGACTTGAGAGCCCGTGGGAGTAGGCAGTATAGGTAGGTGCTGAGACCCTCATCCTGGTATCTAATTGTCTCCCCCTCTATGCTTATCTAGCCTCAAGCCCTTCTCTAGATGGGCAGGATGCCAGGCGGCCAAGGAGCAGGAACCCTTCCACCTGGACCGTAGAGGATGTGGTCTGGTTTGTGAAAGACGCCGACCCACAGGCTCTGGGGCCTCACGTTGAGCTCTTCAGAAAGCATGTAAGCATGTGGTGGGCCTGGGGGAGGCATGGAAGGAGGGTGAGGTCAGGGAGCTGTGGACTGTGGTGGGGGAGGGCAGGTGGGTCTGAACTGAGCCCTGGGAGCACCACTCAAGGGAAGCCAGTTGGAACCACAGGCTTCTCAGAGCACAACCACCACTTAGTTTTGTTTTTTAGGGACATTTGTCCCATCTGTCACATCATTTGGCCTTTAACAGGAGTGCCTGTTTTCCTGCTCATCCATCCGTCTGTCTGTGCATTTAACAAATATTTATAGCACACCTACCATATGCCAGGCCAACTATTAGTGCCTATTCCTAAACTGTTTGAGGATTAAATGAGAAAATGCACACAATGTTTCAGCATGGTGCCTGGCTCATAGACAGCCTTCAGTTAGCAGGCATTCTTATAATTATTTAGGCGATTCTAAAAATATATAAAGATAGTAAATGTAAAAAAGAGGTAAGAATTAATACTTTACCTGCCAAGCTTACTATGTCAGTTTTTCATTGGTACTATAACCGGTTACCACAAACATAGTAGTTCAAAACAACATGAATTTATTACCTTACAGTTGAATGGGTCAGAAGTCTGACAGGGCTCTCACTGGGCCAAGGTGCCGGCAGGGCTGACATTCTTTCTGGAGGCTCTGGGGAGAATTTGTTTCCTCTCGTTTTCCAACATCTCAGTCCACCTTTGTTTCTTGGCACGTATCTCCCTCCCCTCCTTATCCTCAAAACCTATAACATCAAGCGGGGTCCTTCTCAGTCTCCTGACTTCAGTTCTTTCTTTTGATTTCTTCTTCCGCTTTTAAGGACCCTGTGGTTACATTGCCCTCTCCCCCAGATAACCCAGTATCCTCTCCCTATTATTAAGTCGGCTGATTAGCGGTCTTAATTTTGTCTGCAACCATAATTCCCCTTTGCAGGTAATCTAACATATTCACATGTTTTGGAGATCAGAACATATTGGGGGAAGGAGAAGGAACACTCTTCTGCCTACCTCAGCTACCATTATTTTTTTCCTTCTTGTCTCATTTTATTTGGTGATTCTGTTGTAGAAATCATACTTTCAGATCTGGGGAGAATCCTCATCTAACCCGACACTCACATTTTATTAGGGATATAGTTGACCTCACCTAACAATGGGACCTTGAGAGCAAGGACCACAGAGTAGGTTATGTTTAGGCAGAGCTGGGAGGAAGGCGGCTGGCTGTCTTCCAGAGTGGTAGGAGATGGTGGAAGCCTGAGGGGTGGGGTGAAGAGAGAACAGTTGGCAATGAGGCCCCTGGGTGGGCCCACAGATGAGATTTGTCCACTCTGCCATTTCGCCAAGGACATGGCGAGTGAGTGACACAGAGTAGGTGCTTCATCAGTACTGACTGGAGGCTGGCTAGACAGATGAGAGGGCCTGGTGGCACAGTTATGTAAGTCCTGTAACCATGCCTCTTCTCCCCACCTGAGGGCCCCAAATTTCTACCCTTTGTCTCTAGTGACCTGAAAATAATTCTATAGGTGAATGAGGAAACCCAGCCTGATTAGGTTCATGAATTCAACATGCCTCCTGGTGGGTCATCATTTTCAGAGACATATAGGAGCAGTACCAGCACCTCAAGGGATGGGCATCCCTTAGTGGTTCTTTGTGCCAAAGTCTGGGATGAAGTAGGTACATTATTTAGTTCATGCCACACAGCATTATTGACTGGGCCAAACACCCACCCCACCCCCAAAAAAACAAAACAAAAAAAAAAAACAAACAAAAACCCCACTTGAAATCCCCTATAGAGTGTAATTAGCAATCTGTTAATCAGCCTAAGGTAGGTGGGCTTGCCAAGAAAAGAAACAAGAGATTAGGGTGCTGGGTAGAAGTCAGGGCCTTATACCAGCACCTGGAATGGAAAGGGAACCAGTCGTTTCACGGTCTAAGGATGACACTCTGTCTTAGCCCATTCAGGCTGCTATAACAAAATACCATGGACTGGCTGGCTTATGAACAAAAGCAATTTATTTCTCCGTTCTGGAGGCTAGTAATCTGAGATCAGGGAGCCAGCATGGTCTGCTTCTGGTGAGAGACCTCTTCTGGGCTGCAGACTGCCATCTTTTCATTGTATAAAGACACTAATTCCATTCACGAGGGCTCCACCATTATGAACTAATTACCCCCCAAAGTCTCCACCTCCAAATACCATCATGTTGGAGGTTAGGATTTCAGCATATGAATTTGGGGGGAGGCACAAACATTTAGTCCATTGCACATTTCTTGCTCCTTTAGCCCTAGATTGGATGAGGCAATAAACATCATATGGGGGATATTAGGACCATGGCTGGGTTATGTTTGATTACTTCAATCAGGAGAAAGCAGGGATATGAAAGATCCAGTGTACTAAAATGACCGAGAAGTATTTTTGCTTTATCTTTTTAAGAAGCTCTTGCCTTGGGATTAAGAGAATGTGTATCTAAGTAAATCTGTATTCGTTACCTCCTCTCCTGACCACACTTTAACCATAGCCATTATTTGATTACTCTGACCATCTTCTGAGTTTTGTTTTTTTCTGATCCTGTTCCATCAGGAGATTGATGGCAATGCTCTCTTGTTGCTGAAGAGTGACATGATCATGAAATACTTGGGCCTGAAGCTGGGACCTGCACTGAAACTCTGCTACCATATTGACAAACTGAAGCAGGCCAAGTTCTAAAGGCTTTTAAAAGATAGAAGCAAAATCCGGACAGCAGATCTCAAGATCATCTTCTGCCTTATCAACATCCATCCACCATCACATAATAGATTCTCATCTTAAAAACAACAGCCACAAAGACTTGGTCTTTTTATAAAACTCGTGCATCTTTGCCTTTTAAAAAAAATTCAACATGGCCCCTTTGAATGGCTCCTTTGTGTTCATGATTTGCCAAAAAATAACAACAACAACAAAAAGCCAATTATTTTAAACATTCCTAATAGATTGGTTGCCCTTAGAGTGAGTCCTATTTTTACAATGAGAGAGTGGGGAACTGAATGCTATCGCCCAAGAAGAACCCTGGAAGGTTCCATGGATGTAAGAAGAAGGACCTTTGTCTCAGCAGGCCTTGTGGGGATGCGCACCATAGCACCACCTGTCTTTGACTCTGACCCGGGGACCTATCATTGTGAGCCTTGCTTGATTCAGCTCTGGAAGCTGTCTTTTGAGGATGATTGCCTCACCTTGCACTATCCGGAAAACTTGAATTCTTTTGCTCTCTGAAAGAGAAGAAAAACTGTGTTGCTCCACTAGAGGGCAGACTGCTAATGAAATTTCAGGATCCTCACTGCAGTGGCCTGATAATTCGGTACTCAGTGCATGGGTTAGGGTTTCTGTGAACAAGATCTAGCCTACACAGACATAAGGAATTTATTCCACAGTCAACACCGCAGATTGCAACTTGGGAAGACCTAATTACCTCCCAAAGGTAAATGGGAAGAAACCATCTTCTAGGAGTTCTAGTTCGTATCCAATCATTATTACTGACTGAGATACACAAGCAGCAAAAGCAAGAATTTGGAAATACATTCTTCCCAGATGGGGCTTTGGAGTTCCTTCACTTCCAGAATCCTTGCTGAGGTGTCAATGTGTTGGCATGCTGAAGAGTTTTTGTGACATTTAGCCATGAGTGTTTCTTTGAAAAAAGAAGAAGAATGTCTCAGCAAAGCTTTGAAATGGGAGTGTTGATTTCTAGTTACATTGCTGGATTATGTAGTTGTATCTGTGGCTAATTTTTCTAGTCTCAACAAACACACCGACATGCTATTATTGGGTTTAATTTAATTTACAAATAGGTTTTCCTTCCTCACCGTGGAGTAATAGAAAAAAAATTGATTTTCTGCCCCTTTGCACCTGTGTCCAGGGAAGGACGATGCATCCACAATTTACCAGGCAGAAGGGTAACCTCGTCTCCATTCTCCTTTGATCCCTCTACTTTCTCTCCTTTTTTCTTCCTCCCTCACTGAACAGAAAACATATCTTCAAAATGAATTCACCTTTGCCATGGGCATATCCTCTTTCTTCAAAAAAAACATCCATAGTGTTAGAGGTGAGGAGATGAATACTAGACTTTGGGATCTCTGGGAGGATGGGGATCAAAAAAAGAATCTCAGGGCCTCCCTTGGCCCAAATACAAGTTAGAAAAGGCACACCTACCTCCAGGATGCAGCCTGAGCAGGGGTCTTGGCTGGAGAGTGGAGCAGGGTGGGATTTCAGCCCCCTCACCTTTCAACCAGGTGCCCTTGTGCAGGACATGACCTGTACAAACTTGAGGGCAGCCCTGGGTAGATTTGCATATTGAGCCTGTATATAGCAGTTAGAACTTAAATGAAGATCATAAGAAAGCTTCCATGCCATGCAGTCAGACCCACTCTGATGAGAGGTATTTGAGAAAGCACATCATAGCAAAATCGTTTTTAGACACACAAATGGTGGCTGGACTTAAAGCGTGACAGAAAAGGGAAGAAGGAAAACTTTCTAAACCTGCCCACTGAATTGAGATTGAGTTATCAGGTTGTGAGAGAGAGCTTGATGTCTGTTGGTTTCAGAGCCCGACAAAGCTACCTTTGAATCAGGCCTTGGGGCAGAAACCTTCAAGATTTTGAAGTGATAAATTGTCCCTCAAAGTTTGTTAACCATTAAGTGCTCAGACTGGTCTGGAGTTCGCTGCCCTCCCTCAAAGAGCCATTGATAGTTTCTGTATTCAGAACTGCCAGTGTGAAAACAATGAGATCCAGAAACCCCACAACAACCCGTGTTTTTCAGCCAATATTCCTGCTCAACCCTCACACTTGTGATGCCTCTTTCATCAACATATACCTCATTTAGAGACTCAAAATTTCCTATCCACCCTCACTAGCGCCTCCCTCATTACAAAAACTTGAACATTGGTGTCCCCAAATTAAAGTCACCCCAGACAATGTCAAAGAGATGCTTTGAGTAATTTTCAGGGGAAAGATTTTCCTATCTCGAGTCGAGGAGAAAACTGGATCCATGTTCACGTGTAACTGCTCCCACGGAGTTGATATCTCATTTTGCATTAAACTTTAAGCAGGACAGATTGTTGAAGCTGTGATATTTAAGGTTCGACTTTTTAAAAAAAATCTCATTACTCTTAAAGTGAATGCTGCCATATCAGATAATAACCCGGGAAAGAAATTCTTCCTTGCCTGTTTTTGCACTGGAATGCAATTAGCCAACCAAATTATTGTAGCAGTACTGCAATTATAATTAATTTTCACCCTTTCAAAAATCTTGTCAAATCAGGCGGCTAAATAGCTTAGCAAATGTAAAACATGCCAGGCCATTTTCTCTAAACGGGCTTTAAAGAGTCAGGCCATGTGTGTCACTCTCCTCAGAATGTGAACTTAGTTGGGGGCCTCACACTTCTACAGATAGGTACTTGTCATTCCATTGCAGTGGCTTTGCTTCAGGTTGTGGCGAATAATGCTATAGTTTTGCATAATTCCAAATTAGAGAGAGAGAGAGAGAGAGAGAGAGAGAGAGAGAGAGAGAGAGAGAGAGAGAGTGTGTGTGTGTGTGTGTGTGTGTATCCTGACACTATGGTTGGGAGAGCCCTTAGGAAGTGGCTGGGAGTGTGTCAGCTATTACATGTGCTTGGTTTACTATGCCTCCACAACTTTGTATCACGGAGGCAGAACCTGTTCTAGGATGTTACTGCTAGGTATCCCCTCTAGTGCCAGCAGGGAGCGTCCTGAAGGCAGCTGGGGACGATTCTGGGGTTCTGGGCCTGCCCCACTCAGACAATGACTGGATGCACCAAGCAGAGGCTCCCTGTGGCTGAGGAGAGAGGCCAAGCCAGGGAGCCCCGCGGGCCAGCAGCAGCCATCTTGAGCACCTTGGTTTTTGCCCTCCAGAGCGGACCCTGGGCTCCCGTCATTTCCTGCTGCCAAGTTTTTTCCCTTTCGGTAGGAAAAAGGAGTGAAGAGCTCCTCAGAACCAAATATATTAAAATTAAAATACATTGGGAAGGAACACTGAGCTAAGGTTCTCTTGCTTGAGAAGAAAACCAGTGAGAGAGGGAAGACAAAACCATACATTTCTTATGAAAACAATAAAAGAGTGCCTCTTCTAACAGTCCCAACCCTTTAAGCTGCACTATCCTATTTTTGTATTTATGTCCTGTATGGACTATTTCTTACTTTGTAGAAATTAAAACTATTTTTTAAATTATTTTTTGAGACTGTTATAGAAGAATTTTGTCATATCTCTGGAGATAGTTGGAAATGCCCAAAGGTGACTAGGGACTTGAATTTAGTCATTGTCAAAAGACCTATAAAGATGGAAATATTCTGGTGTTTTTTTCTAAAGAAATAGCCAGGTTTTTATATGTGTGAGCAGGAGATGAGTGTTGTCTGATGTTTGCTCCGATGGGACACTTTTTCAACTCTTCTCCAATGGGGTTAGACAATGAAATTTGACTCACTTTTTTTTTTTTTAATCTCAGATAACAACACATGAGATTGTGAAGGAGTAGATAATTTTTTTAAAAACTGCAATATTTTGTTAAGAAGAAGGGTGAAAAACCTGTCTGTGGGTATGATTTATTTTTTGTCATAAACACACTCTAAGAACTGAGCAGAGTTGCCCAGCTCTGCTGTTGTCTCGCCATGCGTCATATTCCTTGTGGCATGAGAAGACCATGCTGAGAACCCCAGAGGTGAATCCAGCAGATGGTCAGATGTCTAGAGGCACAAACATCACCGTTTCCATCTTGTGATGTCACGCCAGCAGCAACACCCCTCTCCACTCACCCACCACCTGAGCTTCCGGCCTGCCTCCTGGCTGTTCCTCCAAGCGATGAGCACCTGGAGCCCCAAGCTTCCAGGGCGTCCCTCCCCCCAACAGTTATTCTAATTGAAGATGATTCCTTCACAGACAATTGGAAGCTGGATTTTTAAAAATCTAGCATTTACTTGAAAGAGAATCGCTCTTATTTATTGCCACCAGTTAAATATTACGGAAACATGTCTGCTAACAATTTGCTTTGTGTAATTTGTTCTAATGCTAATAGGCAACAGCTGGGACACTTCCTGTGGTAAATTCCTTTGTGGTTACAGTGGTATGATCACACATGGACTTCACCAAAATGTACTTGAGAAGAAAGCTCAGGCCGGCTCTCTCAGGCTTCAGAAAATTCCCCTAACTGAGAAGCAGTTCCGGGCAAAAGTACATTTTTAGAGGAGGATTTGCTTTTCTTCACTCTCTGCTTTCCCAAGCAGGGCCCCAGATCTGTGCTCTTAAAATCCTACAGAAAGAAACTGGGGGTTCTCCTTGCGCTTAGCATGGAGTTTGATGCCCCCCAGAGGAAAAGAGCATGCTGAGCTTAAGAATGACACCTTCCTCCAGGTCAGCGTGCGATACCGAATCCATATTGAGAGGATGGGGCATGAGAGAAGTGGAGACACATCCAAGAGCCAAGAGCTGGCTCAACTGCTGATTAAATAATGATGTGAAAGAGTGTGGGGATGTCCAAAGGGTCTAAATATATCACTCAGACTTGCTCGAGGCTGCCAGCCCACCATGCTCTGCTCTGCAGCCCAACCACATGACCCGAGCCTTAGAGTTGGTTCCATGCACTAGATGCTTGTTATAAAAACCAACACAAATGTCTTCCATTGGAGCCTATTTTGGAACACACTCAAAGCCTTGCTTCTCCAAACAGCTCACTGGGTATCATTTTACAGTAAGCATGTGTGACTGGAGGCTACCTCCATCATCAGTGTAGCATCCTCAAGTCTCAGGAAGGTTCTACCTCCCTATCCAGTGCTGAAAGCCTTCCCCACAGCTCTGAGAAATGGCTCTGCCTGACCACTTCCCATGAGGAGGAGTTCACTCCCATAGGAAGTGGCTTATTTCTTTGTTGGATAGCTCTGGTTGTGAAAAAGTTATTTCTCAGTGAGACACAGATGTCTGTGAATCAGACACAGACGTTTGAGATGAAGCCAACTCTGCAATCTTTCTCTTTTTAACAGAGCTTGTCCAGGCAGTAACCACACCTACAATACAAACTGACATTGGCAAGTAGATCCCAGCTCCACTGCATTAGGATAGAGGAGCAGACAATTTATATAAATGTAAAACTCAGATAGGTCATGGCCTTCAGATTCATCAGCCCTGTCATGAAAAACTAGCGAAATTTTTGTGGCCTCATACACACACAAAAAGGGTGGCCTGGAGAATTTTCACTGTAATTGCAAATCTGGCTGTGGTCACATAAGCATGTGATAAAGTTACATAAGCTTTCGTGAATGAATCTATAAGACCACACACCTTACAGTTGTTAAACTGTGAAAAAGATGCTGTGACACATTGAGGCCCTATCTCTTCATTGTACTCATTGGTGATATAATAATGAGCTAAGGAAGCTTTAGTTTAGACAAATGCAAGTTATGTTTGATGATAGAAAAGTAAATATGGTCTTTTGTGATTTATGAAAGAGTTATACAGTTTAAGACCCCAAAGCCTGAATTAGATTTCGTGCTTATGTGTGCATGCATGAGTATTTGTTTAATACAACAAGAACTAGGAATTGTGGAAGGTTTGAGAAGGGATTGCAAAGGGAGATTTTGCTTTCTAGAGCATTCTTTCTTATTGAGAAGATCTAGCAATGATTTAGAACTCAAACCCAAAAAATATACATAGCATATAGTTTATGTAGCTTACTTAGATAAAGTTCTGGATTATGGAGCAGATTCTCTATGAAAATATTTAAATCTTTGTACTGGGAAAAGTAGCTACTATCCAGCACCTTGCCTAGTTCCTGCTGTATAAAGGGCACTTCATTAATATTCATTGGCTGACTGAATAAACAAATGCTTGACTAGTTTCATATTTTCTCCAAAAAGCCACTAGTTTTGTTTTTTGGGGTTTTTTAATCCCATTATCTTTCCAAAAGGAGATTTGCCAAAGGGCCAGACCGAAAGAAGAGCATGAGGCCTTTCATTTCCCCTGGTCTCCAAACACTCAAAGGTCAACCTCCAGTCACTGACTTGTGTTTCACTCACATCTTTCTGTCTTAAGAGCTCACATGTTGATTGGCCTAGTGCTCTACTACTAGCATTAGAGAGTAACAATTGATTATTTACAGCTTTACTTTTTTTTGTTTTTTAGCTGAGCCATCCTGCCACCTGTTGGCAGCTCAGCGGCTGCTCAGCTCGGGCCGGGACTCAAACTGCTGTTGCTCAGAGCTCACACTCTTGAGCGAGCTCTTAACCAACTGAGCCACTTGGCTGGCCCTACAACTTTACTTTTATAACATCTTTTCCTTTTC